GGGGGAACAAGATGCGCGACTCGAAGTATTAACCAACCTTTAGTGACTGCAGAGACCCCCTTCTCCTTTAATGAGGAAACAAAAGCTAACAGTACACATTCTTCAGAACTGCTGAAACCTTAGCTGCTGTTTCCTCATTAAAGACAAACACCTACTACTGCCTCCAGTGCTCCTGTTMTTGGAAGCTGTTATTTCTTCTTTGCARAGTCACARTTAGTTTTTGCTTGCCTGTTGAGCACACCCTTGTTTGGTGAGTCTGAGAGCACTTTTCTCGTCTTTAGTTATGTGGCTTTATCAAGACTGCTTCAAAATTAAATTATGAAATACATCCAAAAGCAAAGACCCATATTAGACAAATGTTTCAATCTCTCATTGTGTGTGTTATTTGTAAATTTGCAACTATGAAACAACACAACAACAAAACTATGCTMATCAAACAATCAATTTATATGAGCAAAACTAAAAGAAAAAGCAGCATCCAGGTGACAGTTTTGACTAATCTTTAGAGAAGATTGGCATTCAGAAAACTCAAGGAGCTCAGCTTTAAAGCGTTGATCCTGTTTCTCCTTTCTGTTATATAACAAAAAGACTCACAATTATTTCTCATTAATTTCAAAGAGCTGGATCAGTCACAACAGACAGTAACATACTAGGCTTCTTGATTTTAGAACAAAAGAGGGAGTTTACTTCAACTTCTGCAGTTTATGTTCTACAGTTTAAACTATAATCATATTACCCATTAAGTCTTTGGTTACTACAGTTTAACAGAAATATTRTCAACTTACCATTTGATCAAATTTTCAATGTTTTGAGGTAATTTTGGGTCCCACCCCCACATCTGTGTTCCAGGACTGACCTTTCACTCCTTTCTGTCCTTCATGCTGCCTTAACTAACTGGACACTCCTGCAGACACCTTCAGTGGTCCTGTGGAGGCGACACAGAGCTCTGCTCCTGGAGGACCAGGAGGCGACCTGCTGGGAGGTTAGGTTTCACTCGTGTTCATGTTCTTTGCTACCTCAACATTTTTAATACAAATCATGATTAAATTAAAAAGGCAGGGTGGACTGGATTAATAAATGTCATCTAAAAGTTCCTAAATTAGTGAACAGRTGATAAAAAAGTTTTATCCTGATTGAAAAATGTGCATTAAGTAATGATAGCGAAGCAGTCGTCAAATTATTAATAATTYTGTAGCACAAACTTGGCAAGTGTGGTTGAATTATGAACACTGCAGAGCTGAAGTGACTCATWTGGAAAAGTCTGTCTTCCTTCTGGCAACGTTCTGACTGTACTTTGGCTTTCTAGCTTTATTTTTTGATTAACAGTTGATAAATTTCATATGCAGTTTTACAGGAAGGTTTTCATCAGTACATTCTTTATAGTTTATTTCTGTTCATATTTATTTGTTCACATATGCACTGAAAAAACGTGACAGTGGTTTAATTCAAAACCCAAGGTACAGCACAGGAAAACCAAAACAAACCAGGCATGTAATAAACTTCTGGTTGGTGTAGGTCATCTGTGATTGGTCAAATGTTTTAAAATGAAGTTCTGTTGGAAGGTTTTGCAGATGACTCCTTGGTTAACCTCAATTTGGCGAATTTAGCGGTTAGTTTTGACAGATTTATGAGCTAGGAGCTAGTCTGAGATGAAACAAGACCAAATGCTGCAATCGCAAAAGAAGCTCCAATCTAAAAAGGTTCACAGTGAATCATGTAAACTCTATTTTATCAACTTCAATTGAAAGTTTATGAACTACTGCAACCTCACAGCATGACAGAGCAATGGTTTGTGCCATCACCTGGGAGTTAAAAGGTCCTGGGTTCAAGTTTGACTCTTTCTGTGTGGACTTGGATGTGCGAGGTTTCACTGTTTTTTTTTCCCATAGTCCAAAATTGCTTTTTAGATTTAATCTAAATTTTCTTTAGGTATGTGTGCATGCATGGTTCTTTGTCTCCACGAGCATGTCTGTATGTGATCCTCCTTGGTTCGGCCTCGACCAAATGTGTCTCCATTTACGGTTCCAACGGCACTTTCAGAACCACCTCGGCAGTGGTTACAATACAATCAGGTATTGCGCACAAATGATTTTGGCATCAGCAGACTGCTGTCTGTGGTTTGGCTGAGCTGAGGCAGAACTTGACAACTCTACAAGGGATTACTGATGAAAACTAACACTCATGGCTAATTCTGGCATATTCAATATTGTGCACYGTCCCTTCTTAAATTAATAAACAACAACAAARTCCTCCTAAAATTCCATTTCATTACTGATGGGAACAATAAACGAGGCTATGCCAAAGAGACCGTCAAATCTAAGGCTGTAATATGGAAAAACTACATACTACTACTAATTACTACTACATTACATTACATTACAGTGTTTTTAACTGCACTGGTCACAAGAATCCACTGATGTCCAGTTTCTTTATTCCACTTGATGAATCACAAAACAAATATGAAAATAAAGCTTCAACYGGTCCAGTGAGTAAATTGCAATATTGAGGKTTTTTTTAACTGTATCACAATATATAAAGCCCTCAACTAAACATTYATTATTTATGCATCAGGTAGATTGATTACAGAAACTAAAAGGAGCATGATCATTTTCCTCTAACACATGCAGGTGTAGTCTTTCTCATTTTAGAGATTGTTTAAAACCACGTTGAAGATAGAGTGAATTTGGTTTAGATTAATATTTTTCTGTGGTCGCTAAATAGTTATCACTGACTTATAGCAGCTTCACAAGAATAAAAAACTCTAAATAAATACAAATTTGTGAGCAAGTATGCTACAAGTAGCTGCAGGAACAGCAAATAGCTAGTACACTTCCTGTGCAACCTGGTGCATTTTCTGCAGGAATATCATAATATTTTGGCCAGAATAATAGAATAAAGTGAAAAAGAGCTGGTATAGATTCTCAGTCATCCAGGACATTGTGACTCAACAAAAAAAAACAAACTTTGGCTTCTTTTTTAGTATTGAAGATATTTTGCTTCCCGTCTGGGAACAGAAGTTCTTGTTTTTCTGGATGGTGGGTAAAGGTTTGTGAAAGAGCAGAATAATAAACTTTGAGATTAAAGCTCTTTTATGAGATCAACAATCTGTTTTGATCTTGGCCTCACTTGGACTTCTTGTTACAATCAGATTAAAATGATTTTTCTTCAAACTGTTGTAATTCAAAAATGTATCTACAAGCAGGTAAGATAATTACATTTGATAACTCTTTACCAAAACCTTTCTTTAAAAGTTATTAAGTAGTCATCATTAGAACATATTTGCTGCTGATACAGATTAGAGTAAAATTTAGCAACACAGCAAATATGGCAGCATTGTGTTAATTTAATATCACCATATCTGYTGTATAAGAACATATTTTACTTTTAACTACAACTATGAGGTTTATTTGTATGATCAAAAACTACAATAATTTCTCCTRAAAGTAAAGTAAATTCTTAAAGTATTTACTACTGTTCTGTATAAGTTGACAGTTTGTATCTGCTTCTTGTCTTTTGAAGCTCTTTCCTTTCCTAAAATAGGTCCATAAGTCCAGTGATGTAACAGTGTGTCATTCAGTGTGATGAAACTTTAGCCTGCAGTTTCAGCTATGTGTGGGTGCATGGGTGTAATTTGCAGGGGGATTAGGGGGTTATGACCCCCACAATCAATTGATCCAGTCATTATAGCCCGCCCCCACAAAAAAAGACATCATTTCTTCTATCACAATAGAAAGTTACGGATTAAGTACACAGCTGCAACTGTTGTTGGTAACTTTGACCTGATTTCAACATTTATGATGTCATATGTGTACATTTAAACATAACTGCTGAAAATAACGTGCAGAGTTTTAGTCTGCTATTGTCACATTATGGCTGGATTTGTTGGATCAAATGTCGTAATTGTTCCTAGCCAAATTGTAGTGCACTAGGTAAATACATACTCTTAAAAAATTGAAAAAAAAAATAGGTTTGTCATATAATACATCCTCAAAATATAAAATATTTGTTACTGTTGGAAAAAATGGGAGAAAAAGGTAAAACTTTTCTTAATTTTTGGACTGCCATTAAACAGAAAAGTTGCAGAGTAAATACAAAGAAAACAGGAAAGTTAAGTAAATCACAGTAAAAGTATTACAATGTATCTTAACCCCAAAATATCCTGAATTGTTTTAAAAAGTAAATGATTCAATAAATAAAAAAATAAATAGGCAGGCAGCATATCACCCCGCCCCCCTCACCTGCACCACCACTGGTAGACCTAAAGTTCCATCCTTGTGTGTGTGTGTGTGTGTGTGTGTGTGTGTGTGTGTGTGTGTGTGTGTGTGTGTGTGTGTGTGTGTGTGTGTGTGTGTGTGTCTTTCTTTCTGTTGTCCCTCAGGCCTGATCTCCCCCACTCTTGCTCCCGCCGCCCCGACCCTGGCTCCGGTGCAGAATAACCTCCTGGGGACAGGTTTTGACGTTTTGGGTTCACTTTCGTCCTCAACACCACCGGTCTCTGTGGTTGTTCCTGGAGCGCCAGCTTCAGCACCAGGAACAGAACCTGCATCCTCCACACCAGCGCCCTCTGGTGGCTTTGATGCCTCTAGTAAGTAGGTCTTGTGTTTATTGTGTGGTTGTAGCTTTTTTACATCCTTTTGCTTTGGGAAATGTAAAAAATCTGAACATGTTTTGCCCGTAAATCTCCATCTTGATGCATTTTGATCAGATCTGCTTTAATCAAACCCAGCTGTTTGTGCTGAAGACCTACTCAACCTTTTTCTGCCCACATCTTGACTTTTGCATGACTAAGGCACCGAGATGCTCTGCTGYCACTGACCTCCTGATGTTTAACTGTTGTTTCTGCTAACTGCTTTTCTACTGCCACTGCCTCTGTTGCACTGATTCTTTCTCTTCATGCACTTTCACAAATGCTGTGCTTTCTCCACCTCTTTTGTCTGTCTCTTTCTCCCACCGCTTATTTTTTCCTCTTGCCTTTTGCCACCACCTCCCTCCCCTTCTCACCCCACATCCCTTCCTCTCTGGTGGGCCATTGCTTGCTTCTTCTAATCTGTAAATGGTGAGTTCAACTCTGCAGTGCATTGCTGAATGTGCAGTTTGGATGGCTCGCCCTCTTTCTGTATTTCAAGGACACTCCCAGCTTTGCATGTTGCAGACTCACTGGTGTCTACTGCATGAAACAGGATTTTATTTATTTTTTTACTTTTTTTAACAGGAGCTACATGCCATCAATGCCTGTTGTAACACTTGTTAGAGCTAAATTTATCCAACAATTCCTGCAAAGTTGCAGCTATCTAATCATAGTAGCCATCACTTAAGTTTAACACTTGCTGAGACACCATGAAGCCTCTAAAATAAACTGATGGTAATTTACACATGTGTTTATCGGTGCACCAAGTATGTAAGGAGGTACATGAGAGATGGAGAAGAACTGGAAGGGTGTGACAAAAAGGCACATAAACAGATAAAAATGTGCATGTATTGAAAGAAAATGTGACAGTGATTCATCAGCAGATGAGTTGAGTTGGCAGAACGGGCACACTGCTGGTCCCATCTCTGGATTCAGCCCTCTTGGGTCTGAATCCAGCAGGAGATAGATGTGAAACTGAGTTGTACAGCAGCTGTATCCTCTCTTGCACGAAGTCGGCCCACAGCTGTTAGAACTGGTCCTTGAAGTCTGACAGATTCCTATTGGGCTTTCATATGTGGTCATGATGGTCATCGTGGTAACACTGAATCAAGATTTCTTGCTGAATAATGAAGCATCTTCATCTTCAGACCTTCTGGGTGTAGTTCCACTGCTAATGCWGCCACACTGGCTCTGGTGTTTTCATATTCACATTTGGGACTGTGAACCTGTAGTCTGGCTGAAGCCAGCTGCAGGACAACATGTTTTGTAAAAAGCACAATACTGGTATCATAGGGGTTCATTTAACTATTCAACTATTTTCTCATCAGAACTCAGATTGTTGTGTAGGGATCTGAGGCYTATTGCATGAATCTAGGATAAGGGATTAAGCCAGGATTTTGGTGTAAACCTGAATTAATTAAGCCTTGAATCAGTTGCATGGGAGGGGAAGCACTTACTGTATATTTCCATTGTAACAAGTGCTCTGAAACTAACTGGGTCCTGACCAGGTTTAAAGTGAAGCTTATTTAATCTGTTAGTGTTTTTGAGCAGTAGTCCGTCACTTTACTGCAGAAAACTGTTCCTCTAACCACGTTTTACAGTCGTATATCAGCTAAAAAGTGCTTTTGATCTTGTTTTTAAACCCACATACTAAACAAGATCAGAATATGTAGGATTATTAATCTTGTTAATCTGAATTTTTTTTACTGCAAGAAGTCTTACCAAGTGCAACTGTCAAACTACAGATTATTTATTATTAATTTGAAAAGAATGAGGGTCTGCTCTTTTGTTTTTGACTTTTTTAGAAGCCTAATTTTTGTAGTCTAATCAGAAATCAGCTCTTTATACATTTATTAAATTTATTATTTTTCTTTGCTTTAAAATATTACAGAGTAAATATATTTATCTAATTTATTTATCAGATTATCCATGAAAAAGAATAATAATTTTAAAAAGACTTAACATTAGCTTCATCTTTAAAATAGTCTATTAAATAATATGCCAAGTCCCCCCTTCTTTGTGCCTGATACAGGCCACACCCACCTCCACCACCTCCACGGCACCTTCCCACCCCTGTCTCCCCCAACACACACGTGCCCACACTGGAGCCTGACCCCCGTGCCTCAGTTTCTAACCCCTCCCGCTGGCCAACCCCCCACCCCCGTCCCTCTGTCCCTCGTCCTTTCCTACAGCGGTCATTAAGTGAACGACCAGCTGTTCATTTTAATTTTGTTCATTTAGTTAATCTCAGATAACTTACAGACAGATTCAGTGGCACAAAAAGTTTTTACTTTTGAAATTATTTCAGCATCAGTCAGTGTTTCTCTTCATCTCTTGAATCATAATCAACCATTAAACTGCTGGAGGAAGTGAGACTCACGTGTCTTACTGCCTGATCAGGAAATCTTTGATCCACCCAGTGGGTCTAGTAAACAAACCCTGAACGTGCATTACTCCCAGATTAGTTACACCTGACTTGAATGAACCGCCCTGATTGAGGCAGCTTGGTGTTAGTACAACTGATTACGGCTGTTTACAAGTTGAAGGCTAGTTCAACCTYGGCTTACAGCTCATATCCTGAATTYAGAAATCTGACTTTTGTGAAATAGGCCTCAGGTCACATGGTAGGAGGGCCCTCCCAATCGATGTGACGTCTTGCCTTGAGATGTAGCCAGATCCGGAAGAAAATGGATCAAATGTGTTGGTTTGTTTTGACTCATGGCTAGAATATTGTATTACAAATAAAGTTCTGTATTTTGGTCCAGCTGCAGGTATTTGTATGGCTTTATTCTTTGCACTTCAACTCTAATCCTGTATTTGTCTCCTGTTTCTCATTTTGCACTAAAGTAAAAGAACTTGTTGATCTTAGTTTGTCAACAACAGTTCTCTTAATACAGTTTTTTGTACAAAATTGTTTTCATACAAATCTCCCAAAATATTCATAAACACATCATAGACTCTGTTTACATCATCTACTCTACATACACATCCTTCCAGTTTTTTATTGTCTTTCAGTTTATCAGTAACTTTCTTTATATACAGTATTTATAAATTTCTTTTTTATTGTAGCTACTTTTTCATTGCATTGACAATCTTTACAAATTGTAAAATGTGGTAAATGATCACTTGTATCAATGATGAAAATCCCACTCATCACCTCTCCAGTTCTGACATRAGAAAAAGTGTTATCAATCACTGTAGTGATGTATTGTAATTCTTTTTGGTTTAGAAATTAAAGGATAAAGACTCGAACTATACAATGAATTTATAAACTTATTATTTGAGTCAGTTTGCTTTCCCAAATCAATATTAAAATCTCCACACAAAATTATTTTATTACAACTCCTTTAAAAAAGCTCCAAGATTTTATCTGTAAATAACTATATTTTTAGTCTTTTTGTCTTTATCAATATCTTTAGTGTTCTCCCTATAAACTTGTGGTTCATGTTTGGTGTGCGCTCACTGCAAGTTTTGCTAAGACCCAAAGCTCGCCCCCACCCTAATTCTGATTGACTAGTAAGCCTATCTGGTATGKTTGAGCGTGAAAGCTGTGCCCGATGGCTGCGCTGTGTTAGATTCTGAGAAATGTCTCTGAGAAAACTTGATTTTTATTTTTCCACAGGTCCTGAACAACTCTGTGGGTGTTGTTACACAGAAATGGGGCATCACAAAACTGAAGAGGGCRTCAAAACGCTGCCCCTCTTTCTAAACACCTGCAACCACCCAACTTCATGCAAACTCAAAGTGTGAGCCCCTAATCAAACTCTCATAAGAGCTGGCAATGGTGTCTAATGTATCTACAAGGACATCTTCTGCACTTGGTGACATTCMCTCATTCGTTATTGATTGACTGTTAGGTGCTCCAGCAACTGCCTGATAACACCAGGGCTCCTGGCACCAGTTGTCTGATTCAAACTGTAACATGTTGAGACTAACCTTCTTGTAAAAACATTAGTAAAATCTTCTTTTTATTCAAAAGAAAACCTTACACCTGTGTGGCCTTGATGACACCTGGCTCATAATCTGTGTTCACAGTTGAGACATTTTTTTAATCCCTGTCATATTGAACCTACGTAATCCTGCAGGACAGCTGGCTGTGAGTTGCTATAAATGTGTGCCTTTGAATGTTCAGTCATATTCACTGTGCAGTCTGTAGATGCCATATGCACAGCTGCCTGCTACCACAGCTGGAATGCCCCCCCCCAAACCCCCCACCACCACCATAACGCCTGCATTCAGAGCCACCCTCTGCCTGTGTAAGCTGAATTAGTCAATCAGAAGTTTGTAAACAAGTTTTGATGTGTTTCCTCCAAGTGTTTGATGGATTAGGTGACCTGCTGATGCCCGCTGTAACGCCTCAGAGCACCGGGGGCAGCACAGCTGGGAGCACAGCTGGCAGCATGGGGACTCCGGTCGCAGCCGGAGGAGTACCCCTCATCCCCCCTGCCGCCCCGCCCCCCACCAAAACCATCGGAGGAGATCTGGACTCGTCACTGGCCAATCTCGTYGGAGGTGCGCTTGCAGCTTCTCTGCCAGCCCAAAACACTTCATTTAAAACTACCTTACAACAGATTTCATTTCATTTTCATTTTTCATTTTCTCTTGTTTGTTTCAGACCTTGGAATGAAGAAAAAGTAAGTGTTTAAGCGTGGAAACTGACTGTGTGATGTTTCTGTAGGCTTCAGCCAATGTACATACTGTAGGTCAGATTATATATTTGTTTTAAATAACTAATAAATCATGAAATAGATATAAAAGCACTGATAGGAGCCTTTAAAATTCTTATTTAAGATATTTATTGATCATTCAGAACATTTTAAAATTTATTGTTACAAATTAGGGTTAATTAAGACTTTAGCCAAACAATAAAGTAGATTTTAGCTTATATGTTTGGGTCACATTTTTCTCACAGGACTTGGGATAGAAGATGCTTTAAAAATAAAAAGGCAAATATGACTCTAAACATGGAAAAAAAAACATTGAACAAAGAAAATAACAGTGTTTAAAGAGTATGTAATGCCCCTCTTCCACTAGTGCCACTTAGTGTCGTGTCGGTACAGTTCCAAGCCATGTCCATTAGGCCAGATTCTCGGAACCAGCCCTTTTTTTAGTACCTACTTTGTCGACACCAAAATGTGACATCAGAACACTGTTCGTCACTGATTGGCCAGTGGGTGGAGTCACTGGTTGCGTCTGAGCTGCCTTTACAACATCTCAGGYGCCATTTTTTCAATTATAGCAGTCACATTAGTCGTGTTTCCATCCAACTTGAATTCGAATTTTTAGTGAATTTTTAAAATTTCAGAACTTATTTGGCAAATGTGTTTGTTTCCATCTCTCATTTTGCGCATTAACTCTTTTTTGAAAAACCCAAAAACCACCTCCACCAACTGCCCAAAACACACCCACTGGAACCGGACTGGAACATCAATGGATAAGCATCCGAACTGACTCRTTCCAACACTACACTAAGTGGCACCAGTGGAAAAGGGGCATAAGTTACTGATGATCAGTGAAGCTCATTTGGGCATACTGTATTTTAAACATTTGACCTCTTTTAGGGACCCAATGAGTGAGAAGAAATTGACAGGAGGAGCCAACTGGACTCCACAGGTGGCCCCAACAAGCTGGGGAACCCCCGGAGCCCCCATGGTGAGACTTGCAAGGACAGCTTCACAATGAAATCCTAGTTCACTCCAAAAGTGGTGTTTCTGAAATAAACAAACCAAGACTCARACATTGAACTGTTAACAGTCTTTAAACATCACAAACAAGCAGGACATGAGTTGTGTTGTTGTCCATTCAAACATTAAAAAAAAAGGAAAAATGTTTTCAATCTGATCTGATAATTATTGATATCTGTGTGCATCGTTAGGCTGCTGCAGCCCCAGGAGCTCCAGGAGCAGCTCCACCTGGTGCAGCTATGGTTCCACCAATGGGAGCACAGCCTGGTTTTGGCATGGTGAGTGTCTGTATTTATAGAATATATAAACAAATACAGGTAGCTTTTTAAAAGTCTCATATGAATCTTCCGTTACAAACTATCTGTCCCCAGAGGCCCAGAATTACTCTCACAACAAACCCTGGGGACTGGGAGCTGAATCGTCTCATTTGAGTCAAGATCTAATGTATTTTCTCATTTTCTCAGCCTCCTGCAGGAGGACCTGGAGCACCAATCATCCCACCCATGATGGGGCAGCCTCTGATGGGGCAGCCCATGATGAGGCCTCCCTTCATTGGGGTGGCTGGAGCTACACCAGGAGCTGCTGCACCTGGAGCACCGGTAACACATCACACACACTGAAACAACTTATGCTTGCCAGATTGTTTGTCAGCTCTGTTAAAAATKTAGAACTTCCAATTCTGAATTTAACCCACCCCAACAGGGGGTTTTGTATGTTGAAATTTTCTAGTTTGAATAAATGTTTTCCATTAACAAATATGATTGTAATTCATTCTTTTAAGTGCCACCTCACTTCCTCAAATGAAAAAGAAACCCTGCACAGCCTCATTATAATGGTKGTTTTCATCATACAGACTTTTTAAATAATATTTTAAAATTATAAGAATTATTGAGTGCAAGCAACAACAAAACCACAAATTAGCAGTTGTGTTTGACAAATTGTTGAGAATGACTGAATATGGTGGCAAAGTTGATAACTTGTTCACCTCTTTCATCATTTTCTGTAATGTCCTTTTTCTCCTTATTGTTGATGAAGTTCTTCCTCTTGCCAAGGACTGTCTGCTTTCGGCTGACATTTTAACATACTCAGAAAATCAAAGATAAATACACGAGAATACGTTTGCTGGTAGCAGCAGAACCAATTGTGATGAGACCAGCTTCAAAGGGGTGGGCAGGCATGGATGTGTTTTGGTGGACACACAACTTTGGGATTAGTAAAAAAATGGAGAACTCAAGATCATTTGTATTTTGAAAAGTTCGACGTGTTCATAAACGGAATCAAACCAAATTAATCAAACTTCAACAACATTTCACATAAAGTTATTTGCGACAGAACTGCCAAATTAGGTCTGGACTCACCAACTACAATGTGGTGGTCTTCATTCTCCCCTGGTTCTGGGTCAGACTCTGCCTCCAACATGTAAGGCTGGATGGACAAGTCCTCTTTTAATCAATTTGTAAATACAATATTTCTGTGCTGTTAAGGCTACGTTCACACTACAGGCAAATCTGACCCAAATCCAATTTTTTATGACAGTTAGCGCGACAAATCCGATTTTTTCAAATCCGACCCAGGCCATTTCAGTATGTGGTTTTAAATCGGATACATATCAGATGTTTTCAAAGTGACTGCAGTGTGAACGCTCATGTCTCATTCATCTGACTTTTTCATCAGGAGGAGTGGGTGGAAGATCGATAAGACACTAACCTCAAGTCTCGCTGTTTAAATCTGCAGCTCCGTGTGTTTACAGCTCCAAAACACAAGTCCAGTTGCTTCATCTTTTTACTTTTCATTTTCCACGTAGATAGTWTGATAATAACATGTCCAGCCTGGGTCGTGGAGAATATCGATCCTAAAGTTCGATACTCGGTCGATACTTTTTTCCAGCTTGTAGTTTCGTTCAAAAAAAAAAAAAGCTTCACYGGAGCATCCCRGTCAGASGCAGSTTCAGATATCAACACTGAACTAAAGAACCAGGTCAGATGATTTAATCGGCTCTGATTAAACAACAACTTCCGATTCAATGTGCAAAATGTAGCATCCATGCTAGCTCTGTAAATAAACAAGCCGGCTGATGAGACGTCTCTGTAACGACTTAGAGGCAGGATGAACCCAAATGCAGGCAGGCAGGCAAACTTGAAAATTTAACAAAAAATTTATTAAATTAAAGGCCAGCGTGGTGGCAAAAACAGAAAACTTACAAGTAGCAGGAACAGGGAAGCCCGGGGAGAACATGAACCAAACAGAGACATACAAACGATAACTCGACAGGGAAGTGAAGACAACACACAGAATTTAAAGGTGAGACTAATGAACACAAACAGGGAACACCTGGGGGAGAAACATGAGGATCAGGTGTGAGTAGGCGGGGCTGGAGCAAGGGCAGACATGAGGAAGAAAACAGGAACATGACWGAAATTAAAAATAAAACACTAACACAGACAAGAATCATAACAGTCACGTCTTTTACTGCGCATGCGTCACATCATTGCTGTGTAGCGTTCACACAGGGGTTTGATGCAGGTCACATTTAAAATGTAATGTGAACGTTCACACAAAAAGATCAGATTTTTTTCAAAAAATCGGAACTGAGCATGAAGACCTGCAGTGTGCCATATAGTCGTAAACCCCTCTATCAAACTGTAATGGACAGCTCTTGAAGCCAGAGGAGGGCGGAGTGTGAAGCGCCTTATGCTGCTTTCACACCGAACCCGATTTCAGCGTTAGGAGCGTCAGGTTTACATGCAAAGTCTATGGTGGACGTGGGTCAAGCAGTGTCTGGAAGTGCTGCGGCGCGTCTAGCGAGATTAGAGAAGCACTTTTTGAAGGAGCTGTACGATTTGAGCAATTCATGCGCCAAGACCTTCAAGCATGTCGAAAGCTGGAGTTGAAAATTTGAAATTTTGCAGCACKTCAACCAATCAGAGAGACTCCACTGTGTGATGTAGTGACAGATTTTCCGACAGGACAGTTTCCTGAATGATGTCCAATAACCTGAGACAGATGGACAGGAGCTCTTTAGCTGAAATCGAGTGCCATGATCATAAGAGATCTGAAGGGACATAAATCTGCAGAAGATCTGACAGGTCTACAGGAGCCTATTTCCATTCAGGGTTTATAGGTTATCAATAAAACTTGAAAATCAGTTCTAAAACAAACAGGAAGCTGATGAAGACAATCAAGCCCCACTGTGTTCTGTATGTTCACACTTTTTTGTTCATGTTTAAAAGATGAACTGYAGAGTTCTGGACTAACTGTCCAGAGAGGCCGACCTGGCTAACATTAACATACAGAATGCGACAGCAATAAGCTGTCTGTAAAACGAGAGGTAAAATGAGCGTGGACCAAAACACAGATGTGGACAGGGGTTGATCCAACAGGTTTATTTCATGGATAATGCTGGGGGAAATCTTGAGCCTCAAGTTACTTGGGTCAGGAATTTCTAAGAAGCAAAATGCTGAGTTAGTGGCTATGAYGAGGTTTAAGAGAAACTGCAAGTTTCTAAAATAAGCCACTAAGTTTCTGCAGGTAGGAGAGCCAATCAAAGGTKGTCTCGTGAAGGCGTTAGAGTTCCTGCAGCATCCGCCGTTGATGACGTCYGCTATTTTTACTCTGGGTGAACGGGGTGGGAATCCTTGCTCCATGGAGGAAGGAGTAAACAGGATGGAGGTGTAGTCTGTGGGGCATGCAAGGATCATACACAGGGTGGCAGAGAGGGCTAAACAAATCCAGGGAGAAGACTTATCTCAGAGTCCAAGGTCCAGAAGCGAGGTCAAAGTCCAGGAGTCAGAGGCAGGTGTCAAGGCAGACAGGGGCTAGATGAAGGTCCGTGAGTCAATAACAAAGTCAACAAGGTCAAGGCATGGAGGTCAAAAGACAGAATAGCTGTGCACAGACATGAATCATGACAAATGTAACAAATTCAGTTTTATTCTCATTGACATTTAGAAAGTCCAGAGATGTGTTCACAATTAGAGTTACTGTATTTAAAAGCTCTCACTTTATGGAGCCTCTGTTCTGCCTGTTTTCTCAGATTTCTCCTGGACCTGCAGGTCAAAGCCCCAAGAAGCCCAAGGACCCTCTGGCAGAACTGAACCTCAAGGACTTCTTATAATGRTCCAGGTTTGTTAAACCTGATAAACCTGTTAAACCAATGCTGCATTAAAACTGGGAACTCTGGGTAAAACTGTTTAATATTTAAGTTTTGGGCCATCCGTCTCTCCTTTCCTCCAACCATTTTTATTACCAGATTTTTCCTGTTTGGTGTCAGAAGTGGATGCATCATTGTGCAAGAAGCAGGGTACAAACTGAGTTTGGGATAGATTAGTCATAGCTAAAATGAACAATATGGAATATGGGCACATATGTCAGAAAACATTTTAMTACTGCTGCCAAAACAACAAGATAATGCAAAGGGTCCAAGGTGTAAATGTTAAAATAGCAGCATCTGCCTGGTGTTTTATGACAGTTGTAATCTGCTGTGTCCATTTGGACTCACCAACATTAGCTCATCAATAAGGTTCAAAGAAAATGGCTCCAGTCTTCAAAATTTCATCAAACATAACAGCCTTTAAAGTACCACGTGCAGCTACTAATGATGTTATTTATATGGTTTTAAATGGTTCAAAATAACCATTGTAATGTTGAAATGACAGCAGTGTAAAAGGTTMAATTAATCATTTGCATGAACTGCTGCAAAATTTGAGAGATTGGAGCTGTTTTAAGCCAGCAGTAATTTATCTACAGCAGGTCAGATCTTAAATGTTTATAACCTTTACACATAACCACAGTTGAATATGATTGAGCATTTGAATGTTTAATAAATAATAATCGATTATTAGTTAAACATTCGATGCTGCCTGAAACCCCAGCAGCAAACAAAGCTGCTGCTTTTGACATCTTTAAAGTTGGTAACGATTTTATTTAGATTAAGCCRTTAAACAACAATAAACTGTGCTTAATTACACGATCTGTGCTGAAGTAAAGCTTGGAAATGAATAGTTCTGKAATATTAAAAGCAACATAAATGAAGTGTTCATATCTCCTCATCTATAAGAGCCTTTTAGAGTGATGTACTTTTTTATTTGAAAAACCAAACCCACTGCAGACAAAAAACTGGCATCTCTTTTTATTTTATTTAAAAAAATTATTGTTTTAAATTTATTTTTGCTTTGTCTCGCAGCAGTGTACCTCTTTGGATCCGAAGCCTCTCAACTTCTTTGCCTGGTGTCTGTCAACATCTCAGGATGCCAGCGACGACGTTCAGATAGTTTATTTGGTTTTCATCTCCGCCCGTCCACACATCCCCACCCCTCCCTCCTGTGTGATGTTGTAGCACAAACTGTGAAAGTGAACCATAGTGGATAATAAACAAATATATGAGAGAGAGAAAAATACCCATGCCTGTGCTTATGTCGATGTACTAATCCTTTTCTTTTGTCTAAACAAAATCACACAAAACTCTGAAAAAAAAAAAACTTAATAAATAAATCCAAAAATGGGAGCGAACGGGACAAAATATGTGTTTAGATTAATTTACTTTGCTGAGTTGAATGATTGATGTGCTTTGGTGTCCTAAGCTTTGCCCACAACCCCTCATCATTGTCTCCGCCTCCTTCTGATGGGGGAGGGGCTCTTCTTTGTCCTGATTAGAGAGCGGTTAAAAACAGTAGATTTATTTGGAGACTTTGCGTGGTGTTTACAGAAGAGTCCTCTTTAATGTACATAGATTTCTCTGGTGAGGATTTGATGTCTTTATTCTGTACGTCTGTTGAAGAGAAATATAAATGTGATTCAGACATGAAACTGTAAGAAGTTGTGTGAGTATCCTTCTCTTTACCGTCATCTTTGAAGTTATCTGAAAAAAAAAATACTGTATTATAAAAAAAAAAACCTCAGTGGGCATCTTGGAGTCATGAAATCAACTTACTGTTTTTTGTTTAGTTTTGTTTTTTATCTATTTTTTTCATTAGTGTTCTGCTTTTGTTTATTTACTGCACATGGTTTCTTTCTTTCAGAATTTTCCTCAAACCTCCAGTGATTTTTATAATGGCAGCAAAGAGCATAATTTATTCTTACTKCCCCTTCAGAATAAAAGTCTTTTAAAGGTGATTTTTAAAATGAAGCAGTAGAAATGTAAAACCTCCTTTCTGGTTTAAATAATTCATACAGGAGCTTGGTATATTGCTCCAGTTCAAATTAACACGTTTTGTGTTCAGTTT